TCAATTTTGTCACCACCTCACAGATTTTTCTTATGTGCTCTATCAAAATCTTTTGCATCACGTAAACCGCAGCAGTATCGTGGACAAGACTATCAGATAGAAGGACTAGACTTTGATGGCAAATATCACTCCCCTGACGATAATAATAGACCACTGTATGTACAGTGCAATGGTCATTATTATAATGAATTGATTGAGCTGCATTCTGAGAAACGAAGGAATAAATCTCGGAGAAATCACGCTGAACCAAAATCTCTCCTTCAACTAAATTCTCTTTTCGCTCTTTCACATAGGCTGTTTACTCAGTGGCAATGAAATGATGAGATTTCAACACTTTCAATCGTTCACAAAGTAAATCAATGAATTCTCTTGCTGGGAGTTTGTGTCTGCAATGTTGCTCTATCAGTTTGCCACGTTTTGAATTCCACAATTTCAATCATAGCGTAGTTACAAAGTAATTGTTTCAATTCAAGTGATAGCACATCAACTCCCGGACAGTTTTGGCATTCATCTAAATGGCACGCAGGCATTAGATTGGAACACATGAGCTTCGCGAGACAATCTTTGTAGTTCGTAAGAGGAAAAATTGAATCTTCTGTGAGAGTAGAAATATTGATGGCATCCAACATCAATTTGCAGTTTTGGTGGTACGTACAGACGCAGACAACGTGCGTACCACTCGTTCCTCCCAATACACAATGTTTCGGTTTCAACTCCGCAAACTTACTGAACCCCATAGGAGATTCCGGATGAGAAGTTTCATATTGTTGATGCAGATCTGCCAAATTTTCAGGTAGCAGCCTTTATTGCGTAATTTTCTTCTCGTCGTTGATTCTAACGGATACTTTATCTTTGATTCCTGGCATAATTCGACTGTCATTCTCGTAAAACGTGTGGACTTTCTCAATAGTTTCATCTGGTAATGATTTTCCTATTTTCGCGACGGCCGAAGCGAATACTCCTCTCATTTCTCTCAATTTTTTCGCTCTCTGAGCCATGTGTCTCGTGGCTCCAAATTCTTCACTCACTTTCCGAGTATTCCATGACAATGGAGCGACTGTCAAAATTTGTAGACGTTCAGCGTATTCCTCCGTACTTTCAAATTTTTCTTTCAGGCCATTCAACATTTCTTCCAGCTCAACTTCTCGAGGAGAACGTGAATGTTTTACTTTTCTCTTGCTCACTTCATTGTCTGAATCTTCATCGACTCAGAAATCGTCGATTTCCATTGGGCCATCGAATGCTTCGTTGAATCCATTATTATTAGGATCTACTTAATGGAAAGAATTGCCAGATCTCAATGAACTGTTTGTGATGTTACCGATAGAAATGTCCGCCACAAATGGTGTAAGATTTGAAGAGTACCCGGAAGAGTCATCGGAGCCTCCAGTCGCTGTTGAATCAGATATAGGAGGGAAGGCTTCGATGTATGGATGAAAATTAGAAGGTGATGGGCTAGGAATACAAGTGGCAGTTTTCTTTGTACAGTTGATACACATTCGTGAATTCGCCGGCAAGGATGGAAATTTTTTCCGTAACGATTCCGAAATTACACGTAGACCTTTTCCAATGTGACCTCTCTCTCCAGGGGCGCGCATTTGTCTAGCACATCTCTCGGCATGGGTCATCTTATGAAAAAAATGAGTTGATCAGTCCTATGGATAGATTAATATTAGATTAATGAAGCCATCAATATGGAATTAGTAATGAAGACCATTGAATCTATTCCAACATTCTTATAAATGGGCCCTTTATCTCAGAAGGGAGTGAAGATCATGTGGTGACTCTATATTTAGCGCTCAACAAGTCCACAACAAGGATTGTATGTACACATTCTTTCATGAATGTACTTGTGACTATGATAATTTATTATCCATTGAAAACTAAAAATGAACTCCTCCTATTTTATAACTTCTCCACTGGCACATTACAGACAGACAGATTACATACCTCGATCCAAATTGACGAACAACTGAAGGAGAATAACGATTCAGTTAATTCAAGAGGAAAATTCAGTGTGTTAAATTTCTACAGGAAATTTAACACACTTAACAGAGAATGAGGGATGATGTTGCAGGAGCAAGAGTTTCAGGACAACTAATTAGATTCGTACTCATTGTAACCCTTGGAGGTTGTATGGAAACACGATTCCGCGAAATCTGTAATTTTTCAGACCGCTTACGTCCTCCTCCCCCTTTCACCCCCCATGACAGCGTATTATATTGTGTTTGTAATTTGTGAATCGCAATCCGATTGAAAGTGTACGACAAATACAAGGTCTTCTTCCAAGAACAATCAGACGTTTAATTTTCCTGGCTGCGTGTCGTATTATTTTTCATTTCTTTACGCTCATCAAGGGCGAGAGTTGACGCTGGCTGAGTCAATGATACAGTGGAAAAATTTAACACACGTGGGATTCGAACCCAACTGAACGAATTGCGAGTTCTTCGCCCTATTATTGACTGAGCTATTGCAAGCTTTCGATTTCTACGACATCTTCATAACGACTTAAGAATTTTTAAACATCGGTATTCAATTATTAACATCGCTAACATCACTATTAAAAATTTCTATCTGAAATTTCCGGTGTACTTTCCCACAATTTTTAGCAAATTTAATTTCTACTGAAATTTCAAGGAATTCCTATAAACTATGAATTTCAATTGCATTTTCCCCTGAAAATGAGTAACAAATCAGGAAATTCCGGTAAATATATACAGGAATTTTCAGGACATCAACGCTGAATGCAATTTAGGGGGAAAAATCATGAAATTTCAGATTTCAGAAAAAATTCATTGTAATTTCAAATAAATTCAGGAATTTTCGTCTTTGTGGTAGTTAAAATTCTGGAATTTCACTGAATTTTCAGGGAAACCTGAAATTTCATTTTTTTTCTCTAACAGAGTAGGGATCTGATGAGAAAATTTATGGGTTTTGGATAACATTTTTCCCCAAACTCAGTGTTCATTATTCAAAATAATGTTAAAACAATTATGCTCCTCCTATTTTTAGGTCTGCAATGTAGTTATATCATTGGTTATGTGGATGATTCACCATACGAGTATGAGCGATGGATTGACAATGTGATTTTACTAATTATAGCCGTTAATGTCGAAAAAAAAATTTATGCAAGAAAATTTTTTTCCTCATCTCTGTATCGATATCACATTTCAAACTGTCCCGAAAAAATTGGGGATTATTATTATTTATCAAGAAAAAAGAGAATCAATTGATTTTCGACTGGCCCCTGTGTAACAGTGGAACTTGAAAAATTAAAACCTCTGAAAAAGGGTCGTGTACAATTCTTGGCGGAGGAGTAAGCCGGTGGTCCATTGCTTGACGTTGTCAAATTGATGTTTTTCTTTTTAAATTATAAATTAAAATACAGTTTGTATAATGACGTAATGATCCACATAATTACAAATGGATTTGAGGAAGTGGATTTGAGTATTTTTCACCCAGAGTATTTCAAAAGGTGAAAAATTAGTTAGCTGTCACGTTAGTAACGTGAAAGAGATGATCGGTGGAAATCATCGCCAAATAAGTGATTGGGTATTAAGAGAAACATCTAGTGCTCAAAGTACTGGAAAAAAAGAAAATGTTTATACGCCAACTATCGAGGTAATTATTTTTCTCTTCTCATCATCGAATAATCCTTATGAATAACTCTAAACTCCTCCATTAAAATATGAATATAATTTACAATTTCACAGATAGATCAGAGGAACGGGCGTTCAATACTTGGAACCAACTGCACGTGTAAAGCTGGGCTCCTGCAATGTAAACATGCTGCTGCCTTGTGTATTTGGGTGAATACCGAGCACACGTTATCCAAAACAGATTTACCTATGATTTGGAACTGCCCCCCAGAACAACAACTCGAAAAATATCGCAAAGGATGCACGATTGATTCTCTTTTTCCATCAGATGAAGGGAATATTAACAATAAAGAAATTTATAACTTCAAGGATCCCGAGAACGTGTCTGAAGTTCATCGTCAGGAGAATTGTTCAATGATCAACACGGTTCCAGCCGAGGAAATTTGCATTAATCAAAAAGAGGAGAGAGCAAGATTGAAAGGACAGCATGAATCGTTTTGTCGTAAATTATTTTCCAAATTGTTGGATTTACAAAAGGCAGGAACTTTCAAGGTGTATAATGCTTACGAACATGTGACACTTGCTGATGGCCAACGTCAATTGGTGAACCTTGAGTGCCCTGCAAGGTAGTCCTCGTTTTATTCTTCCAAAATTGAGGTGAACGAAGAGAAATGGATTGATGTTTGCTTCCACTCTTTGCATCAGTCTCAAACATCTTCATGGTTCAGAGAGCGCTCTATGAGGATTACTTGCAGCCAAAAGGTCCATCAAATTAAAACCAGGCGTAAAGACTTCGAAAGTTTGGCAGTTAAGTTCAAGAGAGACTCTGATAAGAGTGGTGGAACAACACACAAGGCCATGCAATATGGTTTAATGATGGAACCCATTGCAAGAAACATTTTTGCTACTCTTTCTCAGCTACAAGTATATGAGACGGGTTTAGTCATTTCTCTCCAACCTTTCCTGGCATGCAGCCCCGATGGGTTTATTTGGAATGGCATGGCATTCGAACTTTTTGAAATTAAATGTCCTTATTCCTGCGAGCACTCATTAATTATTGATTAGCAGAAACGTCGGAGTAACGTTCAATATCTAAAGTTTAATGATGAAGGGGGACTCACATTAAACACCAGTCATCAATACTATACACAGATACAGGTATCGATGTATGTAGCTGCTGTCAAACTCTGTCACTTCTTTGTTTATTGCAAAGCACAATGGGTACATTTGCGAATTCTCCGTGATGAAGAGTTTCTGAGTACACTTATCCCAAAGATTGAGCAGTTTTATTTCACTTATTTTATCCAATTACTCTCAGATGATAGCGGGACCAAAGAATTGCTGGAGTGATAATATTTATAATAAGCAACAAAAGGTTGTACTTATTAGTAATAGTTGCTTTATATTGGTCATATTTGTTACAATTTTATAAAAATAAAATTTACGTTACTTTGCTGGATATACGAGACCAATTTTTGCATTCTTTAAGAGCTTTCATCTTCAATACGAATGAGTGGCTCTTTATTATTCCCAAGGACACAAGCCACGTACATAACTTTATCAATGTAATTTAACAATTCAATAGAAATGTGTCGCAAAATTCCGAAAATTTTCACGCGTTGGATGGCTCGTTCTACGTGGATTCTCACTGAAGCTATAGAATAGGCTTCTCGGACCTCCTCCACTGTAAATTGTGGATTCGTAGCAAACGGTGGTATAACCAGCACATATTGACGTTCCAAGAGGGCAGTCTTGATTTGAGGAAATCCCTTATATGCCATTATTTCATCATCGGGCTCCACCAGTGCTATGAATCCAGAATGATTTACAATAAATCCATCAGTGGGTCTACCGCCATAGGCCTTTGAAATGGAAGTAATCATCCCTGAGGGACTGATGCCAATTAGAAATCTTACAGTGAAGCCAGATTTATAGGATGAATACATTTGTACTCGTTGCTCGACAGTTGGTGGAGTGTCAGAGGGGAGTTCAGTGCAATCTATAATAGCCCGACATTGTGGATAATTTGTAAATGCTGAAGGCATCGTTTCTTTAACTGCTTCTCTGGATGGCCAGAAAATCCACGTCTTTGTCTTTTCATACAGCGTTTCTAGTACATTATGAAATATCTTTGAAGCACTAGTTTTTGAAACTTTAAAAAAGCACCCAATTGCTCCAAAGTTTAATCCAAGCTTCATTTTCATTAGAAATAAGAGCAGTCTATTTGGTGCATCTAGAGTTCTATAATAAGCCGGTTGTGCCATTTCCTTTGGCCGGATAAATGGGAGTAAAATATAGAAAAATGATAATGTGATTCCTCCGAGTTGCTTCATTGTCGTATCATCTTTAATATCCTCGAATCCTAAGAATCCGATTTTCGGTGGACAGTCTGGATCAACTCGGATGGTCCGACTTTTTTTAGGTATAAGAATTGTCATTCTTTCCTTGGATTTTGTCGCCACAACAATGTCTACTTGAGTAGAAACTTCCATCGTTGCACTATCTTGCCAACAATACAATGTTGATAAGCCTGAACTGGTTGCTGATTCCTCATCGTCCAATATAGGGTCGATTTGAACAGTCATTTCATGACATTGTGGAGGTTTGTCAACTGTCGTCTCATCTACTTCGAGTATTCCTCCATCTGCATCTTCTGAAACCATATTTTTGAATTTATTTATCTATTCAGTTTTATATTCATCCCCAATCGAACTTACTACAAGAATTGTCGACTGACGCATTGGCATCTACTCGATTCCTCCTATGCAAAGACCTCTCTGTTCATTTCGAATCCGGAGTTTTTTTTTTTATAAACAGGAGGGAAAAGTGTCGGATTGTACGCCTCGTTCAAAGGATTACTGGATTTTTCACCTCCACGAAAATGTAAACTGTAAATTCTGGAATTGGCAGTAGGCTGCGATGGTTTTCCTCCTGGGCTAGAAGAAAATCATTATAGCATTAATCTAAATAATTTAAGTATTTCTTTGGATAGATCATTAATGCATGTTTTTTCATACGCATTTTTTCTTTACAATAAACAATCCTTAACCTGAAAAATATGGGAGCTACTTACTTCGTACGACGGACAGCTTTGATCCACTTATTCTTTCGTTCCAATTCCCATGGACGGTTCGGAAAAGAATAAAAATGCACTTTTTCGTTTCTTCGTTCGACACTTTCACAACCCACAACACAACAATTACGATTAGACAATTTTTTTTTATTATTCGAGCAATTATTGACAGGCTCCATTCTACATGCGTTATATGGGATTGGCGTAATCCGTCACCCAAGAGTTGCGACTTTTCCTCACTCGCTGGCGCCACCAGAGATATTTGCCTAGCGTGTAGCACATGAAAAAATGAAAAAAATCGTTTTTTATTCATTAAAATCCGTCAATTAGTTCCAGCCCTAGCGGACCCAGTGGAGAGTCCAACTCTCTATTTGTTCCACGATTAGAAGTAGAGAATGGGTAGAGACCCATTCTCCACTTACTCTCAGATTGTCTACTCTTCAATGCTTTGAGAGAGTAGATAGCTGAGGCGAGGGATATGCTGACCCTTATTAACTATGGCCCTTGAGAAATTTAACCCTCTAACCGACTGACCCTTGTACTTGGGACCTGTTTGAACTCCCAGAGCTCAAACTTTTGGACCCTGGAATGTTTTCAGCTGAAAATACTCTGATTTCATTTGAATTTTTTTAATTGGATCTTTGTAACCCTTATAATTTCAGACCCTTAAATTGGGACTCTCAATAATTCTGACCCTTGAAAATATTGAAAAGTGCAACTTTTGACCCTTAAACCTTCAGACCCTTAGACTAGTCGTACTATCTACTCTCTACTCTTGTAGAGAGTAGATAGTTGGGAGCGGATGCGTGGTGGGGGCTACTCTCTACTGTCTACTCGTCTAGAGAGTAGATAGTTGGCGGTAGGTGCTTGGTGGGGGCATTCAGACCCTTATTTTTGAGACCCTTATCGTTCCTCATGGCCCGTGAAACTTGACCCTCAATAGTGCTGACCCTTGAAAATGATAACAGTTAAATTTTTGACCCTTAATATTTCTGACCCTTAGACTAGTCGTACAATCTACTCTCTACAACAGTAGAGAGTAGATAGTACGGCTAATCTAAGGGGCCGAAATTTTAAGAGTCTAAAATTTAACTCTAAACATGTTCAAGGGTCAGCACCATTTAGGGTCAAATTTTTAGGGTCATGAGGAGCGTTAAGTGTCTAAAAAATAAGAGTTTGAATGCCCCCACCTCGCACCTACCGCCAACTATCTACTCTCTAGACGCGTAGAGAGAGAGTAGCCCCCACCACGCATCCGATCCCAGCTATCTACTCTCTACAACAGTAGGGAAGGTTTGAGGGTCAAAAATTGCACTTTTCAATATTTTCAAGGGTCAGAATTATTGAGAGTCCCAATTTAAGGGTCTGGAATATTAAGGGTCTGAAATTATAAGGGTCACAAAGATCCAATTAAAAAATTTCAAATGAAATCAGAGTATTTTCAGCTGAAAACATTCCAGGGTCCAAAAGTTTGAGCTCCGGGAGTTCAAACAGGTCCCAAGTACAAGGGTCAGTCGGTTAGAGGGTCGAATTTCTCAAGGGCCATAGTTAATAAGGGTCAGCATATCCCTCGCCTCAGCTATCTACTCTCTCAAAGCATTGGAAAGTAGATAATCTGCCCTGTCACCCCAACTCTCTACCCATTCTCTACTTACTCTCTAATCGTGGAACAAATAGAGAAATCACCGTACTCTCTACTGACTCTCACATAGGTCCGTTAGGGCGAGATATGATTTTTCAAAAATTTGAACTTTTGACACATGTTGTAGACAAACGATTGATGTTGAAGGAACAAAGGTTTACGGAAAGCATGTACTTACGTAGTACCTGACTGTGAGCATGTCAATTCAGGATTTTGAGAACCAAAAAAATTCAAGGTGGCTGAGTTGACATGGAATGTCCCGTATATATTGCCGATACGCTACCGCGTATCTCGATTATTAACATTGTGATTATTTAAAATGAATGAATTTGTGTAAGAAAATTCGAGGGAATGGTCTCTCCTCATTCTGATAGTTCAGTGATTCCCAGAATGAGATGATTTCCTGTGATTTTCTCCCAAGGAATTATAATAGAAATGATGATTGCTGGGAGCGTTGGGCATCTGTCTATAATTGCAGTTTTCTACATGAAGACTTGTATTTTTAGATCCTCTTGTTTAGCTTCGCAATAATGTAGAATGGTACGGAATTGAAAAAAACACTTCCTAAGATTATGTATGTCTGCGCGGGTGTCCAGCTGATATTCAACTTTTAGCGAATCAAAGGTTTGAAGGCGTAGAAAAATTCAGAAAAGATCTCGAGTTTTGTGAGATTATAGGTATTAATCAAGACTAACCCTCAGCTTGACTTCACCACAATCGACTCAGTTGTTTTGATGAAATTTTTGCTCATAAACGTTTTTTTGAAAATATCTCGAAAACTATCTAACCGATTTCAATTTAAAAAAAAAATATTCGTCTCGGTTTTCTATCACGTTCTTCTTCAATGCCATCACTAAGAACGGAATGCATTTGAAGAGAAAATGGGAGTGAAAAAAAAAAGAAGAGCAAGAAGCAGTGCAAGTGGACAAAGAACAGAGACTAACCAAAGCCGCCGATAAGAAAAAGAAGTTACAAATGAGAAGAGAAAAAGAATGAAGAGGACTGAGGAAAGAGTAATACCATAAGACACGTACCAAAAAGAAAGAAAATGAACTGGAATAAAAAACTATATTAGGATAGTGAAATGGATTCATTTTGACGGACACGAAAAAATTCATGTTAACACTGGAAATTGTGCTGCAAAATAAAAGAATTTTTCGGGGTAAATCAGAAAGGAATTCCGTACAGCGAAAATTACAGTGTTTACAGGTGCCTTTTTCCAGATTCATCGAAACCCTTTTTATTATGCTGGCACATTACTGTTTCTGGTATTTTTTTTCTCCGTGTATAGTAGGTTGACGTGGGAATGAATACTTGCAGTGCGAAAATCGTTACGATAAATTGAATAAAATAGTGAAAAAAAAAATGCGAATGAAAAAAGTCAACCAGAATGAGGAAAAAAAAACTTGAAATTAAAATCAAGAATGATTATAAACAAATTAGGATTTACAAATTATTTCATGAAAATATTATGTTCAAAGCGCCAATGGCGGTAGCTGGGTGCCTCATCATTAGTTTCATTATCCAATAAAACTCTCGCAATGGACGACTTCATCTCTTCAGATTTCATCGTGACTTAGGTTTTCTTCAAATTTTTTGCAAAATCCAATTTTGTTACGCTAAAAACCATTCGAAAGCCCACCATCAATTTATTGATGGCGAAGAAAGTATCAAAAAATTGATGAGTGAGATGTTCACTGCCATATGCTCGCTGCCCCTTGCTTGTTTTTTTTTTCATTCAATCCCTCCTTTACTAATTTCAGTGAAAACATGATCCCTGCAGACCAGAAATTGAATCGAATTAATGGAGCATTTCCAAATGTAACTCAATTAACAATGGCCCACATGAATTACACCTGGAAGGACATCGAAGCGTGTATATTAATGTTCCCAGCTTTGCGGATACTATCTGTGCCATTTAATAAGGCCAATACTCTAGACATGCCGATAAGTAATTCTCCGCTAGTGAGACTTGAAACAGTAACCCTGGAAGGAAATTCGATAGCCGATTGGGAGGAGGTTCTGAAACTGGCTTGTTTAGAATGGTAAGTAATATTGATTTTTAGACTCACCCATAAATCAATGAATCAATGTAACCGTTAAAAAATAATCAGAAACGCGATTCTTCAGCTTGGAGAATCTCAACTTGAATTCTAACGTAATCGAGAGGATAACATTCTCGAATGATGGGGAGGGAGGAAAAACGAGACTATTTCCAGCATTAAAGCACATTCATTTATCCAGCAATTTGATATCAGATGTAAGTTATTTCAAGAAAATTACTTTAAAACATTTTGAACAAATTCCTTTCGGCCAAACTACGGTCATATAAAAGCAACGAAAGACGGAAGCTAAATTATAAAAATCATTTGATGATACAAGTGAAAAAAAGGTCACTTTTGTACGCTTCGCGCACCTAGAACTATCCTTTTCTCATCAGTATAATAAAATATCGTGCGATACATATAAAAAAATGTTCCCTCACACTCGCCAACGACTACTTTTTTTTCACTTGTATCGTAATATACTATTTCCGTTTTTCTTACGTTTTCCAGTGCTAATGCACGCTTCTGCACAACGGTTTGTCTCATTTATCTACAGAAAAAAATACAAAAGCATAAATCATCGACGGGGATGGCTGTGGTTAGAGTGTGGGATTGGCATGCGGGGGACACGGGTTCGATTCCCGACTTGGGGGGGCAGGGATTTGTGTCATTCTAAATCTCACGGTTTCATTGTCGAGCGGAACATTCGGTGCTGTTGTTAGCGACGTTTTCAGCAATTTGACACTACAGTACGTTTGCCGTAAATAATGGTAGATGAGAAAAAGTTCATAGTAAAAATTATTCATCAGAAAACAATTTAGAAGATGCATCACTTCACAATTTGACAAATTGAAAAATTGACCAAGATAACTTGGATTTCATATCACGTTGGATAGCAATTGAGGTTATTTTTATTCATTTTCATTTAACATATTCGTATTCAGGGACCCCAAAACATAAAGTCCAATGATAAAATTCAATGCACCTAAAAGTGTATACGGGACCGATCACAGCGTATGGACTATTTCCGGTTTTTACGATTTGTTTCCTTATTCTCACCCCCAACCCCGTGTACTGCATTCGCCGAAGAACAAGGGAAAACCTCACTTGAAGGAAAAACCTACCCAGGTACAATCGTCTCCTGTGAGACTCCCTCTCGATAATGAAACCGTGAGATTTAGAGGTCACAAATTTTGGCCCTTCCAGCCGGGATGGGCCCCCCACATGCTAATCCCACACTCTAAGCACGCAGCCACCGCCATCGGTAATAATTTTCAGTATTTGGAGTTGTTGATTAATTGCTATAATACGTTGTTTCATGAAAATAATAAATATTTTGGATTAAATTTTCGAGGCACTTAATGGAAAAATTAGTGGAAGCTGTCTTTTTTAGTTCAATTATTCCGAGTAAACTAATGGAAATCCGGAAAATTGAGATGAATATGTTACTAAATTTTGAATGAACTGAAAATTACGCGTAATTTGGTACTAAATATTCAACTTTTGGCTAAAAATTGAAATAATCATAATACTATTAATAATACTAAGAATAATAATAATTCAAAAAATTCATATCATCCTATAGTATAATTTTTTTAAATTATGAAGAAAAAAATTAGTCCATACGCTGTGACATGTTCTGTGTCCAATCCGAGGTCCATTGAGTTTTTTCATTGGACCTTATGTTTTCCAGGTCGCTGATCATGAATCTGATAACCGCTTTTGCCAAATGTGGTTAGTTTTGTTTATTTATAACAATTTAATTGTTTATAACGCCATTACGCAAAAACGGTTAGAGCTACGAAAAAAAGTTTCAAACAAAAAATATTCCTCGTCTAAAAATACAAATATTTTGTCCTATAAAGTTTCTTCCTAGCTCTTATAGTTATTGAGATATCGATCCTGAAAATAGGCGCGGAGCGCGGAGACGCGCGCGCGCGGCCCGCTCCGCACTCCGCCCACGCTACAATAGAAACGGTTGGAGATAGAGAAAAATAGTTGAAATAAAAAATGTTCATTATGAGAAAATACATAACTTTTGTTGTATAACATTTTGTCATAAGTCCAATAGTTAACGAAATAATTCCATGTAAACAAGCCACAACAACCTCAATTGCCCTTTCCCGCGATACAAAATACAAGTTATCGTATCCCATTATTAAACTTATCGGATTGAAATTTACCACAACTTTTAGATCATTCCATGACGAATAATTTTCATCTAGAACATTTTTCTCTGTGTGCATTATTGACGCTAATATTTGGAGCTAACGATGGCGCGTCGTGTCGGAAATGCCGCTTACAGCATTAATAGTTGCCTATTTGTATCCAATCATTTCATTTACCATTAGCGGTTTGAAAAAATGTTATATTATAAATTTTTCGTACTTTTTCATAACGAACGTTTTTTTCAAGTGGACAACTCCCGCGGCCACCTAGAGGACAATGGAATACTCGCCGGGCGTTGAGCGATGCTGTAAGCGGCATTTCCGACACGACGCGCCGTCGTTAGCTCCAAATATTAGCGTCAATAATGCACACAGAGAAAAATGTTCTAGATGAAAATTATTCGTCATGGAATGATCTAAAAGTTGTGGTAAATTTCAATCCGATAAGTTTAATAATGGGATACGATAACTTGTATTTTGTATCGCGGGAAAGGGCAATTGAGGTTGTTGTGGCTTGTTTGCATGGAATTATTTCGTTAACTATTGGACTTATGACAAAATGTTATACAACAAAAGTTATGTATTTTCTCATAAGGAACATTTTTCATTTCAACTATTTTTCTCTATCTCCAACCGTTTCTATTGTAGCGTGGGCGGAGTGCCGAGCGGGCCGCGCGCGCGTCTCCGCGCTCCGCGCCTATTTTCAGGATCGATATCTCAATAACTATAAGAGCTAGGAAGAAACTTTATGGGACAAAATATTTGTATTTTTAGACGAGGAATAGTTTCTGTTTGAAACTTTTTTTCGTAGCTCCAACCGTTTTTGCATAGTGGCGTTATAAACAATTAAATTGTTATAAATAAACAAAACTAACCACACTTGACAAAAGCGGTTATCAGATTCGTGATCAGCGACCTCGAAAACATAAAGTCCAATGAAAAAACTTAATGGACCTCGGATTGGACACAGAACATGTCACAGCGTATGAACTAAATATGAATTTGAAACAAAATAATACATATTTTCCTTGTTCAGTTTTCACCATGAGATTTTTGCTCTGCAAAAAAGGTTCTCACAAAAAATTCGATATCTCGCTTCAATTCTGAGATATTGAAAAAGAACTAACTTCCAAGAAATAGTATATGTTGTAACGAGTGCAAAAAACATTTTTTCACGAGTTACGAACAATATTTTTCATCACAGTGTGGCGGAAATTGGACTTTTAGGCACGCGGAGCGTGAAAGATAATTATTAAAAATTCTTTTTATATTTTATAGTTATATTTTCATATAATATTCAATTATATTCTACATAGGATAAACTAAGCTATGCAATGAAAAACGGTGACAAAAAGCGGTTACATGCTTTTTTTAAAAAGGGATTTTACTATAAGAAAATAAAAATAATACCAAAAATTGTGAGGCAACATTTTCAGTCGTTGATTGGTGGAATCGGTCATGTATTATATCACATTATACTGTACCATTATATTTTTTTCTTTTGAAGATTGAACTTGATTAATACTGCAGCTCCTGCTGAATATAATCAATGGCATTTGAAATTTCATGATTTTTCTCTTCTGAAAATTGTACGGCCGTATTTTGGTTACAAGGAGTTTATTCAAAATTTTCAATCGAAATGGTTGGATAAATTATGGTAAAACTGCTGAGGACTCCAAAATGAAGTCACACATTCTTTAAAACTTATCAATTTAAATAATTTATTTTAGTGGAGTTCTGTTACCGAACTAGAAAAACTACAAAATCTCGAGGACCTCAAATTTCGTGATAATCCAGTGTTGAATGCAGAATCTCCCGAAACAGCCCGACAATTGATTATCGCAAAAATTTCGAGACTGAAGGTGCTAAATGCGACAGAAATCTCAGTGAAGGAAAGACGAGATGCAGAGTACGATTACATGAAACTGTTTGCCAAGGAGTGGCTCCAGTTATCTGAAAATTGTGATATACCTAGGAGGGAATTCTTGGCGGTTCATCCGAGATTTCCAGCATTAGTCGAGAGTAAGAAATAAATACTATCAAGCATCCCAATTACTCTGATTTTAGGCTATGGTTATTCTAAATTTTATAATACGATAAAATCTTTAAGGCCCTGGTGGATTATCTTTCGAACGTGATCTTGGCTGTTTTTTTTATTTTGATAATCTGAAATGATCTCCAATTGGGATTCATTTTTACATAGCCAGTTTCCAACAATTATGATTGTACAATCAAAAAAAAGTTGAAAAAAAGCTGAACATTTTCAAAGAGCATTTTTTAATAATATTGGGAAATAAACCCAACAGGGAAGAAATTGCCAATTAATAATTTGATGTATCTAATGGCTGTTAGATCGTCATTTGTCACAGTAGTCAATGGCTGTCAGATCGTTAGTTACCATGATAAATTATCCATTCACTATTCCCTGTTTATCGAACTTATTTCTTAATTTTTATTAAAAACGCTCTTTGAAAATGTTCAATTTTTTTCTACTTTTTTTGATTGTACAATCATAATGTTTACGGACTCCTACGTGGTGTAAAATCTAATGTAAATTGTGATATATTTTACATTATGAAGATGGAAAAACAGTCGAGATAACGTTCGAAAGATAATCCATTCGGGCCTTAAATTTTTGAATCTTCACTAAATTTTTGGATTTGAATTTTTGTTTTACTTTTCAGAGTATGGTGGTCCAGAGATAATAAATTGCAAAGCTGATGAGATGAAATCTGATGTAATAATTATAGAATTTGTCAGTATGAATGATTCATTACAGGGAAAATGTGTGAAAAGAAAAGTATTGAAGGAGATGGACGTTCAAAAGTTAACAGGAATCGCTCAACGATTATTTAAAATTGGTGGAAAAATTCCAATATTATCATTTGTACAGTCGAAAGTAAGTGAATAACAGCAGATAAATTCAACACGAATTTAGACATCTTTTAATAAATCAGATTTTATCAGAGATTTTTGGATAATTTCTGGCAAATTCATTGATTGATTTTCTATTATTCCAGTTATCTAGAGAAGAAATCCCTCTGGACAAACCTCTTCAACAACTGAAATACTACTCAATCCAAAACGGCGACAGAGTATTGGTGCGTTGGTGACACGTGCTGATAAAAATTAAACTAGAATCTAAAATAACAAAAATTAAATAAATGATTATCTCAACTAAAGAACAAATTGTCGCCGTACTCATTCTTACTAGTATTATTTTTTTATTAAATGATAAAATAATTTTATAAAACTATCAATCAATATTTTGTAATTAAATACTTTTTTATATTACAAATATGCCACTGGTATTAATTTTGCTGAGCTTTCTCTTGAATTTTATTACTCTCTTCTTTCTCGAGTTGTTCTTTCGTTAATAATGATAATCCAAGTTGGTCTTCTCGATTGAACGGCTGGGCCATTTGTCTCAGCCATCTTTTTGATATCTAGAACATGACATTACATTTAGATGAAAATATCAAGGGTATTTTTCGTGCAACCAATCATCTGTGAGAGAAATATCTCGCAATGAATTTATCAAGATCAACTTCTGTTTTTTTCTGAAGCAATTTGTAGAATACTCTCTTATTACACATTTATTCTAGAGTTTACACTTAACTTTTGTTCTTCATCATGTGACCACTGAAGTAGTTTTTATCAAGAAAAAATTACCTGAATAGCTTCCTCAGTTGATAAATTACATAAATTATCGGTCAGATGTTCCTGGATCCATTTAGGCAGTTTACTTCGTTTGTCAGGTCTCGCGAATCTTTTATCAGCAAACACCATTATACCATAATCAGTTTTTCCTCTGATAGCTCGACCGACACATTGAGCTGCGTGTCTCATAGCATCGAAGGTCAAAAAATCATTCTCTCGTATCTGGAATGATTTCCATTACAATCGAAATTAAAAGTATAATTTCCTCGAGAAATTGATAAATTCCAGGTATTATTATATATTTTCAAATTTTCACTATATAAAATGAACTTTTATGCCTTCGTTGCCTTCACTAATGTTTTACTCCTCCCACTCACCTGAAACTGATCTCTCAAATACTCCAACCTGGCCTTCAGTATCCTAGACTGCGTATAAACATACGGAATACCAAACATAAGGACAGCCCTCCCTAGATGATGGTCGAAATCTACCCCCTCAGAAACCTTGCCCCTGGCCACAGACAACAAAACCGCTCCTCTTCCATTCTCACACGCCTTAATATAATTCATCAATGCCAGACTAGTCTCAGCCGAGTCCTGCGTCTCAATGAACAATAACTTGTGCCTCTGCAGCTGGTCCACAATCCCCTGATCATACCAAGCTGCAATCACCGATTCCATATAAAGGTATGAAGTGAAGAAGCAGACAAGTCCATCCGGTACAGTAGATGAAAACTCGACCAACAGCTGTCCATAGTTCCTGATAACAGCAACATCATCCCTCGTTTCATACTTGGACGAAATAGTCACTTGATCATTTCCCTTTGCAACAATCATAGGGAGCAGGCAGGGTCTAGTCAAAGTCATTGTGAACGATGACATGATCACAGGATGGAAGTTCAGAATCTTTGGGTACATATCCAACGGCGATAATGTTCCTGAAGTGATGATAACCGACTGAAACCTGTCGAAAATAGGTTTCATGGCAATAGAAGAGTCCATACAACTGAAATGCAAGACAGGATTCAGAACAGTCGGTGTTTTATCATCAAAGGGCTCCACAATTATGGTGAATCCACTAGTATAAGTCGAGACTAGCGTAGCAAGATGGGTGACAAGTACTAACGGTGAAAAATCAGTCAAATCCGTGATCTCCATTGTTCTCAATAACGAAGACAACCGTTCAGCACAGAATCTCAGAGGTTTTCGGTCAATACATACTTTTGTCTGAATGTCGTGGAGGAAGATTGATGGAGACTCCTGCACCACGTGTTGGACTCTCAGTCTTGTCTTTAGGTATTCAACAAAACGTTTTAAAAAGCTGACAAAGTGATCTGCGTTCCTAATGTTTCCTGGAATAACCTCCTCGAGGACTTCGTTGGGGAGAATTGGATTGGCCAGGATCACGTCTGTCTCCCTAGCGAATTGAACATCCTTCAGACCCTCCACCAGTCGTTGATATTCTTCTTTGAGTTTATTTGCATCCTCATTCTTCATCTCTGCGACTGTTTTCTCCAGGAGTTGGATGTTTGCTGTACATTTGTCCATGGTTCGACGATTGATTTTTACGCTCATGGAGTCGATGCAGACGTTGTCAATATTGTGGGCTTCGTCGAAAACGACGACCGAGGTCTTTGTGAGTTCTTTGGAGACGACGTCAGCTATCTTTGGGTCGAGCAGGTAATGGTAGCTGTAGACGATGATCTGGGCATGGAGGAGTGTGAACCTGGTAAGAAAATAGGGACACCAGTTGCGATCTCGCCCGTAGTCTTTGAGATCGTCGATGGAGTAGATACCAGGGGGCATCATGCGTTCGCGACCTTCCATGTCAAAACCCTCGAAATAGCTGCAGATTGGGGTAGTATCGTCGTAGTTATGGCGGGCTCGGACGTAGGAGGCGGTTAAAGAGTGACAGCGACCATCTACTATTTTGCCTTCTCGCTCTTTGCTGACCTTAAATATTTTTCACAAATGATTAGTCTAGTTTTGTACTTTCAAAATATTAATTTTGGTGAGGCTTTTCGTACATCTTTCTCAACATTTGAAGAATTTAAAATGTACTTCTTCGAATTTGATTACGTAGACAAAAAATCAATTTTTTGATTTTTCTGTTTTTTTAAAAATACATTTTGTGTTCCATAAGAGATAAATGAATGCAGTCGGGGTAGGAGAAAGGGGTGCACACAAATTTTTCAACTTTATTGACATCATGCCCAATCGAAAAGACTCCGAATTTTCGGCGAGGGTGTCAGATTTTTTTTATCTCCTCTAAAGCGCAAAATACAGTCAAACAATTATAAACCACATAAATTGATTTGTTTCGTGCTATAGAAATGGTACGAAAAATACAAAAAAAATAGTTTTTAGGTTTTTCAAATGTTGAGGAAATCATGTGAAGAACCTCCGCAAAATTTAAATTTTGAAGGTGCAAAATCGGACCAATACGTGGTAAAACCGTCCAAATATAAAATTGCATTAATTCATTCAAAGTATCATTTGATATTGAGGGATTGTGATATGAAGGAATTTCCCTATTCTTAAATAAAATTAGTATTGAGTATATTGTTTACCTCTGGATGTATACACATATTTTTACGTGAAGACAGTACCACCCCAACCATATTAGGTTTATTCTTGGTCTCCTTTTCATAATAATCCATAAGTCTCTTCAACTCTTCGAGAACTTTTTCAATCTCAGGCACCGTACGGGAGCAGTAAATTAACTTTGTGATAACTAGGGGGTTTTCCAACATGTAAGCCACTATCAACGATAATAGAGTGATAGTTTTCCCAGTGCCCGATGGCATCTCCAGTAGACAATGTCCCTAAAAACAACATGAGGTGTAACAATGTCGCTCAGTTCATGAGTGCGATTATCCTACAACAGTTCAATTCTTACCCTGGCATCCAGACCCTTCTTCAGCTCCAACATGTAAGCATACTGCTCTGGATAAATATAATCGTATGGAAAATATACGATTAATCCATCTACACTGATCCTGGAATGAAAATACCGGAAGATAATTCCAGAAAAAGTGGTATTGAAGATTATTCTCTGTGTAGTTCGGGGGGAAGAGGTATGAGAAGATGCCTCATAAGAATCTTTTCGTATAACAGAGGATCCTAAATCGAGGCTTCCAACATTTTTCTCTGAAGCTGTTAGTGTCGCAGGGATTCTCTACATTGAGGGAAAAATGAGCAAGTTTTCAAACAAATCTTCTTGGACCAAAGAAGTCACTAGTTAAAAATGACCAAAAACGAAATTTTTTGATTTGAATTTCAAAGTCCCAAATATGAATAATCCCTTTGCTTTGAACAACAATGAACTATTTGTTTTAATATCGGGCTTATCCCCAATTTACAAGATCGCTATCATATCACCATTATTTTATTTAAGAATTAATTTCTTATCTGTGATTACAGAATACTCAAAGTGAAAAACTTCTGTCCCTTGTTTTAGGCAAAACGAACATTTTTGAGGAGCAAAATACGTATGTGAGTATCGAATAATAATGAAGAAGTAGTGATAGAAATGGCATTTCTTACTTACACAGAAATTTTTACGACAAAATCTTCACTAGATGTAATTTTTTTGGTGACTTTGAACTTGTGATTTTTTTAATTCAAATAAGACTTGTTTAAGAAAATATGTTTTTTCACAGTGTAACTCATCTGATGACAAATTCACTACCGAATTGATAAACAGTGAGAAATCTACTTGATTCCCACTTGAGATTTAAAATAAAGGAATATTCCTTCAATGTTTGTGAAGACTTTTTTTTGAAACGAAAAATGGAAAAACTATTTAAAAACATGAAAACGTATAAAAATAAGCTATAGAAACCACACGATTTCAGTCTCCGTTACAGATTTAGCGATTTTTCTTGGAAACTAAACTAGAAGCTGAATCGACTTCACTAGTGAATTGTTCACATTGATTCGTTGAATTGCCTATAATTGAAGTACTCAACATTATCATGAGGAATTAACTCATGAATAAGAAGGATAGCGATTTACTATTACAAAATAAAAAAATTATTTCTTTTCATTGAAATCCAGAGATTCTGGTGATTCATGCAATTGTGATAGAAAAATTAAGTACCATTTGTTTTATTTTTGCGAGCTCACAATTTACGTGTATCATTTAGGCTGAAAAATAAAGCATTATCATAAGATGCTAATAATAATCCGTCAAAAATTGATACTTTCTTATATAAATTTATGAACAAAATGAGTAGTGCAAGTATAAAGACGTGATATTAAAAAATGGAGAACATTATATATATTAAAAAAAATTAAATGCATTCTACTCACTTCATCTTGATTTTTAAATGGACGCTTTCTTTCTTCCAGTCAACATTAGCTGACAATCACCCATAAAAAGAAAACAATTTAAATAACAATTGACAAAATGTCGTCTCTATTACGGCTAGAATGAAATGAAGGTTATTCCGGATTCATCTTTTCCTATTTCCCACACTACTATCCGTCGACCATCAACACAACGTCGTTCATCCTTTCAATCCTTCCAAAACATAAAATCCCTCACAATCTGTTCCAAAATCGTCTTAAATATCTCAACACCCTGCAAAAACTTGCAATATTCATTCACTTCATATTATTTATATACAACCCCAATGCGTAACATAACAATATTGTAATGCACCGGAACTATAGGTAGACTGCGCTGAGAGCGATGCGCTATTGCCACGTTAATGGCAAATGAATATCCCCGAATTAATCCACAATTTTCTAAATGACCCTAAAATAAACAAAAAAATCCATCAAATTGATGATTTTAATAATTGAAATGAACATTAAAATCATTTCCAACACAATTTAATATGCCATTTGCAGGATTAACGTTAGTAATAGGTGGAATGTGCTTGGAGCTGCTACTGTGTTACGCATTCTATATAATACCGTGCATATCACCAGAATTAACGACATTTAATTATCCGTATTTTATCCATAGGTGACTTCGACAAAGATACAATAGATGATGCAAAAAATCTCCTCTCAAGGCAATTTTTTAGCTGCAAAAAAAAGGAAAAATTATCATGTTTTCATACACTTCAATAAATTGTGGAGGGAGACATGGCAACATCGCCGAATCCCATAGCAGTGCTTGGTCTTTCCTGTGGTGTTCAATAGTACGCCTGTTTCTTGGACGAACACTACATTTAATTCACATTTAATAAATAATTTATCATGTCCAAGATAAACTTCCAAGACTTATGAAAAAAATGTGAATACAAAACCGTTAGTTGCGGCCTTGATTTGTGAATTTATCTGAGTTTCATTGGCAATTATTGGTATCCAATCGCATGTGGAGAATTCGGAGAGAGAGATTTTGATTCTGAGGAGTGAGATGAGTGCAGTTTGACAAATTTGGTTACTGGGAAGCTGTTCATTTGTTGGTAATGAGTGAATTTCGATGTGAATAAGTGATCTTTGGGCTTCAATTGGTGGAGATTTTATTTGGAAATCAAGGGAATGTTTTTTTTTTAATACTCGACCGACACAGGCTCACGGTACATGTACACACGCATACCCACACTTAGATAGAACACACGGACTGCAGCGGACGTAACTTGTAGTCAGAGTTGGTGAACTTATCATAATGTATGAGACACGTTAAACACAATAAGGAAAATGTGATGATGGGAATTGTGAGGGACTGTGAAATGTTGATGGAATCAATGATATTTGTGGGTTATTTTGGATTCTGCAGTTTGTAAAGGTGAATTGAATTTTCGAATTATTTTCAATGATATAATGCTAAAAATTTTAGGGGGAAAGTGGAGGTGAAGTTTCAAGTAATCAAATTAAGAAAAGGAGATATTTCTGAAGTTTCAATCTTATTTCCTGGGAAAAACTTCTAAATTTTCCTCTTCCAATATATAATTTTTGTGGTGAATAATTGGTTTGATTCATTATTTCTTGCATTCAATTACAAAAGCAAAACAAAAAACCAAGTCGAACTTCATTTTAAAAAATGGTGGATCTAAAATTTAAAAAATTGAAATTTTATGAATACGTAATTTATAAATATTTTCGGAGTAAAGAGGTTTATGAAAATTTTTCAGAGTATATTTTTTGCTGCACACTTTTCGAGCTACAAACATGAAGCAGAAACTAGCAGAATATTGGTCCGCGGAAAATTCAAATTAGGGGATATTTAAACTAGCTCTACCCTTCGGCCGGGCTACGCTGTACGTTTGGATATTTTCAGTTTTTTAATTTTTCACCTAAATTGCATGAAAAAAATGTGAAAAAATTCATACCCAGTCAGTATCATGTAAATTAAATTTCGCAAAATATTTATATTTCTTCAAATATTTCCCTCTTATAAATAAATAATAAAACTTGCTTGCAAAACGGTGGATTATTTTTTATGAGGTGTCAAAAAAATTCTTGATTTTTTCACATCTAATGAAAAAAAAATCAGATTTTAATCTTTGATTACAATGGAAATATTGATTTTTACATAAGACACTGGGTTAAATCCTGTTTTTTTAACATTTCTTCTTTGAAAAACCAAAACAATAATTAAATTGAGAAAAAAATTAGAATTCCGAATCTAAACGAGTTTTCTGCAATTTTTTTGCAGTTTTCAATAATCTTTGAATTTACCGTAAGGGTAGAGCTACTTTAAGTGTAGGAGAGTCAACTAATCATATGTACAAATGTTTTTTTAAGAATTTGAAAGAGTTTGTAAATTACTTAAAAAACATTTGTACACCCCTAGATTCGCCTAAGACAAATCTTCTGTAGTCGAATCTTTCGCGAGTTTCAGCTTAATGCTACAAACAAGGTCTCTTGATAAATTTCCATAAATATTTTGACTTCGAAAAAATGTACAAAATTGTCCACTTGTAAATTTTTTATTTATGTTCTGTAACGTAGATTTCCACTAGATTGCAGATATTAAATAAAGAGAATCGATTGAGAGTCTTATTATTCTTTCCACAGAGTTCTAATTAACCAAATCAACTGATCAGTCATAATGAACGGAGATTGATCCTATAAAAAAATATATCTATCGATTATGCTTGAAATTCCTCTAAAGTGCAGATGTAGCGAGAAATTCGTTGAGCGCAAAGAAAATAAAAAAAATGATCTCCTGACGTACTAGCTCTAAATATATTTACACACTTCGGGCAAAAAACCAAACAGTTTAGACCCATTGCACCCGGGAAATGTGGAAAGAACGACGTGCGTGCGAAAATATGGAACTTTACGCACAAGTAAAATAATATACTATCTTCTGTTCCAGATTTCCTCCTCTTCACAGCAAAACTCAACTTAATGATGTCTCTATCATCAAGTTTAAACGCATAATTTCTTTGGCAGCCCTCCCTAAGAAAGCTGTAACCGTAAAAAATGGACGAGCCAGCGAAGAAAAAACAACGTATCGTGAACGGCGAGAACTACGATGCTGACAATGACGAGTTTATAACCGACATGGAGCATTTCCAAAAGTCCCTCCTGAACCAGTGCCTGTGCGGTGTCTCCGAGAGTTCTCTGCGCAAGCCGTTCTCTTCCAATACGTGGATGAGTCAAACTCGCACTTCCTCTCGCATTTCCTCTCTATCTGACTGGGATCCTGATAGAACTCTGGAGTTCATTAGTGGCTTGCAGCTCCTCTTCGACCTGGCTCTGAAACAAAACTACCGAGGGGTCATGTGTAGCAGAGTGGCAGACGTTTGCGAGGCCCTGACTCGAAACGAGCACGGGATAATTGACCAGTTGATTGGCCTCTCTTGCACGCCAAACAAATTCGTCTCCTACACAGCGAGCAGAGCTCTTGCCTCCTTCTTTATCATGACGAAAGAGAACACAGAAGAATCTTGGCTGGACAGACTGGCCCAATCATTAGTCAACACTCACTCCCCCAGTCAAATGCTCTTCACTCTGGACGTCGTCAAGAGAGTGGTAGAGCACAAGGACTGTGGAATGCATCCTCTTGAGGAAGAAGGAGCCTCACTGCCTCCACCGAATTGCAACACAGTAGTAGTTTCAGACCCGGAGAGTCTAGACAGCACTCCAGTCAAAGCAATGTGTGTGAAAGCCCTCGAGTCCAGATGGACAGTTCTAGTAGCCAAATTTGACGCCATCCTTGGATCTTACACTCCGCAACACGAATCAGCAGTGATAACGTTCCTTGACCTCTGGGAGTCTATCATCTCTGTCAAGGCGAATCTCTCAGTGATCGATACGAAATTGTTTTACTCCCATGTCGATAATCTTGTGTTTTTGCTCAATGGAAATGTCCCTGGAATCGTCTGGAGGCATATTCTCCGATTGTTTAACGAGGTTTTGTGTTATGGAAGTACTCTAGCTCTTCAGGATGTTCTTCCTGATGAGCCTTGCCGACTGGCTCATGTTATTGTCAGAGCTGTTAAGGACAATAGTCTCCTGGATGGTTTACCTTACCGTCATGGAGCTGGCAGATTCGGGGGAGGTACTGGGGATGGGGATCGTCCTCTTCTACAGAAGCTGGTGCTACTGGTGCTCAAGAGCGTTGCTGTTACTGTTAAGGAGACAAGGACTGATTCGAGCGACTCTTCGCTGGGGTCTGAGGCTGAAGATCTTGATGCCGATATGAGGGTTATTGAGAGAAGCATCAGGACCGTTCTCAGGCAGTTGGATAATTGTGTCAAAACCCTGATGCCTTTTCATCCTGAGATGCCACTTTCACAATGGGTCGTGCAGATGTTCCATGATCAAGATGACTTTCTTATTGAGGGAATGGTCTGCTGCCTTGATGTCGCTGTGGGATTGTTTTATAGGGGGCCTCCTCAAAATGAATTGGCTCACACGTTAAGTCCTAGTTTGACATTCGTGCAGTTCGTCAGGGCTGTCTCCCACGATCCTGATGTTCTTCTTGATCTTCTTGTCAGCAATGAAACCTGCTTTTTGCTGTATCTGCTGAGGTTCTTGAAATACGTGAGGAGGAATTGGAACGAGTTCGTCATGTGTTGTGGCAGAGAGTTGGATGATACCATGACAGTAATCATAAGACTTAGATTAGCGATAGATAGACTGGTATCTAAAGCACTATTCCCGTATAATATTAATCCAGTTTTAAGATTACTCGAGAAGTGCGAAGCTTTTTACGAGGGGAATGTAGATAATTAAGGGATTTGTTTCAGTAGGGAAGTAGATGAAATTTGGGACAAATGAATTTCTTTCTTCATTCGAAATGACTGGGAATTTATTGAATGAAATTCAAGGCAGTTTAGGTCAGTTTTAAGGAAATTCTTGGTTTCATAATGAGACAACGTTGACTCACTTCCCATCATTTTGTTCGACGATGCTATTGTTGGTTTTTGGAGAATATCTCGACAATCTAGGGGGTGATTTTCCCACAGAGAGCCAGTTTGTTAAAAAAATATAGAGCTATTTTTGTACCAAAAAAATATAAGCAACAAAAGAAGATATCATGGAAATTTTAACATCCCTTTTCAATTGACCGAACAATAATGACTGAAATCAATTGAAAAATATGAGTCCCTGATGAATATCTTCGATTGCTTATGACAATCTTTTTGTGAGTACCGAAGGAGGCTACAGAAGCGTGTTCATCTTGAATGATGGGATATTTTCCAAAAACTGTTTTACCACATCACTATTGATATTCATCTGAAGTCCTCTTGAAGAATTGACTTGATTGACTCATCTCAATTATCAACTTCACTATTGATTTCTATTTTTCGAGCCCTTTGTAACAGTATTAGCCTTTGATTTTTTTCTACTAATATTATTAGTTTACATAAACTTCATTGATTGACCTTTTTATATTTATCAACGATGTGTTCTGAGTTGGTGGAGCCCGCCGGTTCCGTCAAATTATTTCAGGAATTTTGTAAATTTACAACGTTACTTACCAACTTAGGTAATTTTTTTATACTGTAATTTGATAAACTTAGAAGATAAGATTTATATTTTTTTTAGAAAATACTGACTAATTTAGTCTGAGGAAGGTGAATTAAAGATTGTACATTAGTGAGTCCAGCGATTACGCTAGAATTTGTAATTAACTCAGTGTAAAACACTTATTTATATTAATAATGATAGAAAAAATATGAAAAAAAACCACCAATGGTTTATTCTAATACTCTGTACAGTAATTTTTAGTTTTTTCTCCATATATTTAATATGAGAAAATTAAGTACAGCCCTTTGGCGCATGTCATAGTAAGGGCCGGTTGCACCAAGCCCTGTTAGCCAAATAAATCTTTAGAAGAAATTTGTGTCTGAAGTAAATTTAGTTCTCAGTTGGGTAATTTCAGAAATTAATCGCAGAGTGTTTTCATTTTCAGCCATTCGGTCGTGAATATCGCCTAAATGGTTCATAATTAGCGATATTATTGACAAATAGTGATCATACAAAATACCTTCGATGAATTTTCGATCAAAACTGATCAGCAGATTACTTTTATTTATTTTAATACTTAACTGATGATTTTCTTGATTGGGCTTGGTGCAACTGGGCTGGTCCTAAATATAATAACTTATCTACTAGTATGAAGAATTTTTGTAATGAATAAAAAAAATTATTGATAACGAAAAAAGTTAAACCTCCGTTATTTGTTAGTTATTTAATTTTGTAGATTAATTTAACTGAAAAAGGTAAAAAAATTATAATGAAACGCAAAAAATGGACTGAAGAATTTCTACTGTACAAGACCGCCTAATGAATATTAATTTGTTAAGAATGAAAAGAAAAAAAAGAAAAAAGTTCGCAGGTGTCGCTTATAATTAATGTTGTTTTTCTTCAATAAATTATGTGTCGTAGTCTTCATCAATGGTGGCAGTGTGACCAAAGTTTGATGTCGGTTGAGTGATCGTTACAGCATTAACGTTATTTTGATTCAATTCCGTGTAGAAATTAGGCTGACCAGCTTGGAACGATGACGGCATCGATATTTGAAAGTTTGGAATACGTGTCGATGATTGGTCTGGGGGCTCTATGAATTTTAACTTTCCCACGTTGTTACTCACTGGTTCTATGCAGTCTTTGTTATTGTTCACTTGGTTTAGGTGAGGCTTTCTACTTGGATCTTTTAGAATTCTAAAAAAAAAAGAGAGTTAACTACTAAAATTAGTTGTTTGTATTGTAAGTAGAACTGTGAATTGTGCATTTATTTTGGAAACACGTATTGTAGAAGAAAATGTTGGACGGTTTTCTTCAGTTTTGGAAAAACTTTTCCGTTTCACGAAATTTTTCGTCCCGTACCGTGAGGGCGGCAGTTCTCGGACGGTTAAGGGTAACTCGACCATCAATAACCGATCATCAAAACCGAAATATGAAGTTTGCGGTTTCCATAGTCATTTTTTATGTTTTTGGGACAAGAACACGTTTGATTTTTATTAAAAAACTTCGGAATTCGATAAATATTTGTTAAAACAAAACACAGCTCCCCGGATTCAGTTCTCGGACGCCAATTTCATACCATTTCCCTCCGATAACTTCCAAATGACCTCATATAACCCCCATATGACCCCGTATAACTTTTATATGACCCCACGTAACCCATATATGACCTAAAGCTTCATATTGCTACCATGCAACTTAATAAATAGTTATGTTGTTTTCATCATCTTTGCACTTCATCGAGAAAGCGTCAAAACAATCTTTTTGAGCCATGATTTCATTGATATGACTTAATTTTTCCAGTTTATCATGAAAAAAATAAAATCTCACAAACTATATGCTGTAGCTCAACAGTGATAGATGCGATCCGCATCATATTCTGATAGAATCAAGAGGCTATCAATAAAAATTTTTTAATCCATGATTCATTTCATTCTGATAACAATTCTTGGACTGAACGTCGAAAAATCGATTTTTGAAAAAATACCAATATTGCAGAAACTCTATAAATAATTCAACTTTAATTGGTATCGATGAATAAAGCCTATTAACGTCTATATCCATGGAAAAATTCATGAAATTTCATCAAACTCCTATAAAGAAAATTGCAAAAAAAAATTGAAAAGTACACACACATACATACAGACACCATCTAAAAATCGCATATTTAGATTTTTTAGGCCATATTTAGTCACCCTGACACAAAAATTTGGAAACTTATTTTTAAACGATTACAAAGCTTCCATTCGGAAGCAAAAATATTGTTCGACTTGTGCCATGGGGTTTTTTAATTCGGGGCGTTCGTCTTCGGCTCGGATTCCAACTTCACGCGCGGAAAAATCTAGTAATGTTTGATAATGAAAAAAATATCCATATTGTGAATCGATAAAAATCGTGGCAGGCGAAATCGATGTCTTGATATTACGGGTACGAACTAGCATTATGAGGCAGGGTCGACAATTGACATACTCTCTTCACTGATCTCTATATAACTGGATGGATTGTTCCCTAAAGCGCTCCTGGGGAGCAATTTTGCTCGTTTTATGTCGACATAAAATCATAAATTTCAACCAATCCTAATTGAGTATTCCGATTCCAGGACTGTCATTGGTTGAAATTTACGATTTTATGTCGACATAAAAGACATAAAACGAGCAAAATCGCGCCCCTGAACCAAATTGAAGGCTCACCCAGCGCCCCTATCACCGGTGGTGGCACTAAAATATACAACAATGCGCATGCGTGGGCATGATATACGAAGTGGGGGGTGGTAATATGACAGTCAGGATCCAGAAATGCCCTTGACATTTTACCACCTTTAAGGCCTCCGCACAATCAAAAAGCACACGCCATAAGCAACAAATATAGGTTATAGGCTATAAGGAGTAAGTTTCCAATGTTCCGTAGTCAATGCGAGAACGCACAATAGAGCAATAAGGAATAGAACCGTGAAACAACTGCCGAAATAAAGTTATAAGCTACAAGAACCTTGTTTATCATGGCGTCAGCTGATCATACATACACGAGGGAAACAGAAAAATACAGTATACGATGTCCACTGAAGGAGAAAATTGTGTACAAAAGGATGGAATTAATCTAAACTATAAAGAGGGGGATGAATTATTGATTGAGCTCGTTCGATCTGATCGTCATATATGGGATAAGAAACATCGTAACCACAAAGGCACAGACATGATAGAAAATTCGTTGTTCCGGCAACAGCGATCTTCTGCGACTAGTTTTCTTTAAAAGTGGTTAAACTCATTAGCAATTGGTCAAATCTGGTTACTGATATCCTCGTGGATCGAAAAAATAACTCCTCATCACTTCGTAATTTGAAAATAAACGATTCAACGTCTCCAAATGTATCACCATAATACAGTAAACTCTCCCAGATGGAATATCTTTCTAAAACGTAAATTCCCATAAGGAATATCCCCTACTTTCCCCCACTCCAAGTACGGCGGCGGGGCTTCTACTAACCCGCGAAATTTCGAAAATGATCCAATTTGTTTCATTCTGAGAACATTGATCTGTCGATTAAATTTGTTATTCAATTTTTTGGTTTTTAATCAACTTTTATTCCTCTTACAAATAATATTACAAAATTCAATATTTCATACTGAACTTTTTAGTGCCCACTGAAGAAATGAATAAAGAATCGAACAATAAAACAAGTAGTATTACAAAATGCACAACTGGACACTGAATTTTACATTGTCCACTAAGAAAATTACCGAAAAAATCAAATAATAAAATGATCTTCGAAGAAAAAAAAATTTCGAACGTGAAAATAGTGACCACAAAAGGATTACCGTTCATTCTTTATCAAATAGTATAAGCCTCCTCGTGACACCTGATAGCTTTTCCAACACAACCAAATCGTCAGGTGTACTCTCGGGACGATCCTCGTACCATCTCTGAAATTGTCGAAGCCCTTCCAGGGCTTGCTCCGTGGTAATATTCCGTCCTCTTCGTGGAAGTTCTCTCAAGTCTGGGGAGTGCTCATCATCATCATAATCGTCATCATTCATTCGATTCTGTAGTTGAAGTGTCTGATTAACATCCTCCATGATCCCTTCAGTTAGATCCAAGAGTTCCGCATTACTGAGTATCTGCCACCCCGGATCATTCTCATCAGCCAACCAATCCTTGGTCTCTTCCTTAGTGAATGTTGTTGGGAATCTTGTAGAACCAATTGGAAGTTTGTTGATCCACTCAACATATCTCTCAGTCTCCGGAGTGTCTTCCATTATCGGAAGTTCCTCGTCACCGAGCAATTTCCTCTAAGCGTTCTTTATGTTGTCTGCAGAAATGTTGTTCCATGCGTCGGTCACTGCAGTACACACATCAAGCATATTCCAACTCGCTAAGAAAGTCTGGACTTCATCACGATCATGTGTGAGGAGAAGATATTCAAGTATGTGTCGTTTGTACAACTTTTTCATCTTAGCGATAAGACCCTGGTCCATGGATTGGATCAAAGCTGTCACGTTGGGTGGCAGATAAAAGACGGTGCATCGATCACTCAACGAATTGAGTTCTTCAGCTGGTGGATGAGCTGGTGCATTGTCAAGGAGGAGTAGGTATTTAGTATCTGGTCCATGAAACTTTTCTAATTCGACGAGAAATACTGTCGTGTACCACTCTTTGAACAGAGTTCTTGTCATCCATCCACTCGTCTCACCTTTGTAGACAACAGATGACGGGGGCTCGTTATTACTGAAACACCTCGGCCTCTTCGATTTTCCAATGATCATGAGTGGGATCTTATGGGTGCCATTGGCGTTCGTACATGTCATCAAACTCGGTCCTTCTGAGATTTCCTCCCATAAGCATTCGTTTCCTCCTCCAGAGCGAGAGTCTTGCGAGGAAGGGCTTTCCAATTCAAGCCAGTCTCATCACCACTGTAAAGGACATCTCGACTGTAATTATTTTTGTTGACGAAATTACGGAAGGCAACAGTGAAATTCGCGCTAGCCCGCTCGTCATTTGAGAGTTTCTCTCCATGCATGGTCAAGTGAAGAACTTTTAATCGATCTTTCCATTTAGAAAGCCATCCTGTGGCTAGCCACAAAGTCAGTAGGCCCACCAATATAACAATTCATCACTCTTGCTTATCGACATAGCATGTCAGCTGACACGGGCTTACTGAGTGATCTCATTTGTTTAAGCCATTCGAATAGTGCTTCATTCGCAGGTGTATAATCCTGTCTGACAACTTTCCTTTTATTTAAATCAAACTGTCGAATTTTAGTTTTGCAGCATAAATATTCTCTTGGTTAGATTTTATTTTCGAAATTGAAGATTGTCTCACACCGTACTCATCAGCCAAATCTCTCTTCCTCTGCCCACTTCGCAGTTTCTCCAATATCTCCAGTTTCTGTCTCATTGTTAATCGTGATTTGTAAAGCTTTGCACGTTTCATTGGTGGAATTTAAAAATCCAAAAAATCGTCTGGCACTTTCCTTTTGCTTTTTTGTGGTTTATCCATGTCTGTTTTGATCCACTAGAGGTTTTACGACTTTTTTGTGACCCTGCTGATCGCACAGTGGCGTTTCGTTATTATTCGTTTATTGTTTACATTTGACGTTGCGAATGGGTATGAGGGGTATGAGTAATTGCGCATGCGTGTCTGTCACATGGACAGAGAGAAGTGGGGGAAAGTGGGCAGAGCCTAATATTCCTAGTGAGAAACAAAAATATTCCTTGTGAGAAAATATTCCTAGTGAGAATATTCCATCTGGGAGAGTTTACTGTAATTGATAGGTCGTGTCCACCAACGTCGATACCTTCATCGTTTGTGCTTCTTCATTTTTTTAGTGAACATGAATAGTCCCATCATTTGTAAACTCACAGTGGCCAAGAATATTATCACCAGATAATTAAACGACTTTGACGTCTCAAATATTTCGTTGTGACGCAGGTTATGTAGCTATTGCTTGTGCCTCTGTATTGTGCGTTGAATTGTTGCTTATTTCATGTTGCTTATAGCCTGTAACCTATACTTGTTGCTGATCGCTTGTGCTTTTCGATTCTGCGGAGGCCTTTATGCTCATGATAAATGATGAATGGATGAAAAACAAAACTCGTCCAAATGGTATGCAGGGGGTTTTATTCCTATTCTATTTATTTTTCTATTTTTTCATTTGTTATTTGATTGGATCCTTCAATCGCCAAGGGTGAATATCGACTAT